TTTAATTTTAAAAAAAAATTGTATTAAAATTTTGCTTGAAAAAGCAACAAGAAAGCTTTCATAAGTGAAACCTTATGCTTCATTTGAGACGGCTTTCTTACTATTATCTAAAGCTATTTTTTAATAAAAAAATTTCTATTTAAAAAATTTATACTTAAAAACTATTTACAAAGCATTAATACAATTGTTCCAAATGAAGCCTTGAATTTTAGGCTTCATCTGAGACGGTCTTCTTACTACTTGTTAAAGCAATTTTTTTATATAAAAATTAAAATTTTTGTATTAAAATACTATTTTAAGAAGTAATAAAAAAGCTATATGAAACGCCAAGCCTTACTACGGAATTTGTTTGTGTGATAGTTGTAAGGAAATTAAGCAAATTTTTTTTTAAAAAAAAAGTAATACTTTACTTTCAACATATTATTTTTATAAAAATAATTTTTTGCATCTTTTCTTACAAAAATCTCTGAGCACCACTAAATGGTCCCTCAAGCTCAAAATATTCTGTAAAAGAGAGTCTTGCCTACAAAATATTAAACAATGGAAAGAAATTAAACAACAATTAAATTTTAAATATAGTCTACTTTAGTTAGGGGGGAAAATTACTAACAGGATTGGTTTGGATTAGATCAGAAATTGATCAAATCTAAACCTAATTGATTCAAATCCGATCTATTGGCATCCCAATAATCTTAACCTATAACTTATCAACTATAGAGTTTAAATTAATTGATAAAATGTCCTGTTGTTTCAGTTTCCTCTCGTGGGAGGGGTAAACGTGGAAGGAAATAATTTGTGGTTGGTGCCGCTGTTCTTGGTTGTCTTTGCTGCCTCCTGATGATGGTTGGTTTTTGCATTGGTTGGCCTTTACTTGTTGCCTGTTTACTGAAGCTTCGATTTAAGTTTAAAGCAGGTCGTTTGATTTGCTGGGCAATGATGTGGCTGTGGCTCACTCCTCCGTAGCCAAGGCTCATGACAATCTTTGGTGGTGATTTTTTGCTTGGTTGGATTGGCTACTTCGTGTTTTACTATTCTCCGCTCCAAATTGGATGGTCTGTGTCTGACTACGGTGGTGTTGGTAGTCTCGACCAATTATTAAGTCCGTTGGGATGTAACTCCCTTGTTTCTGATGTTGCTTTTTATGTTCCTTCGCTCCTCTGATCCTTGTACTCCTTTTATATTATTAATATAGTTTTTATTTTCTGTTAAAAAAATTAATTGATAAAAAATAAAAAAACCATATCAACAAACAAAAGAATATATATATAAAAAAAAGATAATTAAATAGTTAAAAAAAAAAGATAATTAAATAGTTTACTATTGTGATAAACTCACGGGTCAACTCGAATTTGATAAATAGATAAATTCATTATTTTAAATAATTTTACAGTAATTATACTTATTTACTAAAGTATAAACATAATTATTTAATATTCCAGTATAATTAATTATTAATTTTAAATAATAAGTAAATAATTATTAATATAATAGAATACGGAAAATATGAAAAAAAGGAAGATTATTTTAATCATAAATAATTAATAATAATTAATTTTACAAAGGAAAACCGAAAACGACTTCCCGTCTTTCGGTATTCGATAGAATACGGAAATTCTTCATACACAAAATCGGGGATTATTTTAAATAAAAAATTTGCTCCATCATAATAATTGAAATTATAAGACCTTTAATTATGCTAAAAAAATTAAATATTTATCAATTAGACGATAACCTATCAT